TACTACAATCTCTACGCTTTCCTCTGCTTCTTACTCACTACCGCTTCTCGCTCAACACTCTCGCTTCTCTCTACTATTAACTCTCGCTACTACTGACTCTCGCTACTTTCTCTCGCTACTTCTGACTCTCTAACTGCTCTCTGCTGACTCTCTAACTGCTCTCTGCTGACTCACTCTCGCAACTCAGACGGCGAAGCGGACGCTTCTTCTTCGCCTCGCCTCAGCTGTGGCGCCGCGCGCGGCACCTGAGGACAAGATACCGCGCACGGCGGGGAGTACCGCGGCCTGCGCGGAGAAGATAGCTCTTGGCGCGAGACTCTGCTTCCGCCGTGGGCGCGAAGCGGAAGTGGCGGCAAATGGCGCTACATATGTACGTTTAGTTTTATTTAAAAATTACCGTTATTTATAATTACAAAAATTTTTGAAATTAAAAAATTAAACGTTATCAAAGTAGGCTATGATGACTACATGCCAAAATCGGTCCGTAAATAAGGTATCCTTGCTTTTTGTGCACTCCGTTAGAGCAGATTATAAATCAAAAATGTTAAATTCATCCCTGAAGAGGTTAAAAGAGGAATCACATGGAAAAAAAATTTGGTCTTTTTTTTTAATTACATATTCTTAAAATAGAGAAAATTAAAAATATTTGTGTGAAGTCAGAAGAAGGATATCAAAAAAATGACAGAGCAGGAATTGTTTGAATATAAAGACGCACTAGCCTGAAATATTGTTAATAGGTTGCACGAAGGTCCTCTTCGCTTACTATCTAGACGGTTTGAAATCTTTTGTTTAGACCTTGAATTCTTTTGTCCGACGTTTTCTAAACAGTTCATATATTAGGTTAGGGAAAAAGAAATCCATTATTTTTACGTAAACTTCATGACTTTATTTAACATGTTTCGGATTGTCCGATTTGGATCAAATATGCACCGTTTTGATTTATAATTTGTTGCCATTTTAAAGGTAGCTTCATAATGCCTCTCTCATAAAAATCTTGGTCCCCATTGGCGATAAACTCTAGTAATTGATTTTCACAATCTTCTCTTGATACCAATTTCTTGTCGCTAAGGAAGTTTTGCAATGCCAGAAAAACATGGTAATCACTTGGTGCCGGACTATAAGGTGGATGCATCAAAACTTACCAACCAAGCTCCCGGAGCTTCTAGCAAGTCACTATAGACATGTGTGGTCTGGCGTTGTCCTGATGGAACACAACACCTCTCCTGTTAGCCAATTCTGGCCGTTTCTGGTCAATCGCTAGCTTCAAACAGTCCAGTTGTTGACAGTAGAGATCCGAATTTAGTGTTTGGCCATATGGAAGCAACTCATAATAAATGATTCCTTTCCAGTCCCACTAAATGAACAGCAAANTAGTTTGGCCACCGTTTGAGCTGCTTCACCGCGCTTTGACCACGATCGTTTTCGCACAATGTTGTCGTATATGACCCATTTCTCATCCCCAGCCACCATCCGTTTAAGAAATGGGTCGATTTCATTCCGTTTGGCCAAAGCTTCGCAAATGGAAATACAATCCATCATGTTTCATTGTGTTAATTGGTGTGGCACACAAACATCGAGCTTCTTCTTGAATCTAGTTTTGTGCAAATGGTTTAAAACTGTTTTATGGTCGATCTTTAGCTCCTGGGCGATGCTACGACTGCTAACATGCCGGTCAACTTCGATTATTTCTGTGATTTTATCGACATTTTCGACGACAGGCCTACATGTGCGAGGTGCATATTTAACATCAAAAATACCTGAACGGAATCGACGAAACCAAAATTGCACGTAATTGGCTGTTACAGTATCGGCACCATAAACACCATTCATAATTACAGCCGCCTGGCTTGCATTTTCGCCTTTATCAAAGAAAAACTGTAAAATGTATCGAATTTTCTCTTTGTTGACTTCCATTTTCAACACCCTGTAACTCACAACTGAATGGACCAAACAAGAAACACAGGAAATAATTTTTTTAGTGCGAAATGTCACCTTTCCAACGAGAATAAATTTGAAATTGTTTGATCGATACTTTACGAAATATCGATCACTACAGCCATCTACCGAAAAAATAATGAATTTCATTTTTCCCAACCTAATATATTAACATATATTGGGAGTACAAATTAGTTAGGTCCGTTTTTTGTGGTCAAAAATGCATTTATTTCAGAACAAAATGAGTGAACAGATTAATCAAAGTATTGTCCATCGCTGGCTACTACTTTTTTCCATCTCTCAGGCAATTTTCGAATTCCATCTCAAAAAAATGTCTCGTCTTTTGAGGTGATTCAAGTTAGGAGCCAATTTTCGATTTCTGCGAAAGAAGTGAACCGGTGACCTGCCAAATCGTGCTGCATCCGTCGGAATAACCAGTAATCAGAAGGAGCAATGTCAGGCAAATACGGCGGGTGCGGTAAAATATTTCACTTGAGCGTTTCCAAATAATTTTTTACGACTCTTGCGACATAAGGCCAAGCGTTATAATGCAGAAGAATAACTTTGTCATGTCTTTGCTCATATTCCGGCCGTTCTTCTAGTAAAGCACGGCTCAAACGAATCAATTGCAGCCTATACCAATGGCCCGCAATGGAATCGCCAGGTTGTAGCAGCTCATAGTGTACAACACACTTTTGGTACCACCAGATACACAGCATGACTTCAACGCTGAAATCACCATTCTTGGAACGTCGAAACCATTCCCTACATTATTTATCAGTTGGAGCATTGTCACCACAAACTTCTACAAGCATTCGATGCGCTCCAGCTGCACTTTTCTTCCAATTAAAGCAGACAACTAAATCCTCCCGCAAACGCTGCTTAGTTAACACAAAATTTGACATATTCAACACAGTAAAAAACAAGGGATTTGTATGAAACTGAAAGCGATATAAACTGAATATTATTGACAGAGGTCTAACCTCTCTGAAACCACCGTAATCAGCTGTCACTATGAAACATTCATAACAGCCAGAGGCATGTTTTGAAAACGGACTGAACTAATTTGTACTCCCAATATATATTGATATTATCGTCAT